AAAGAGAGAGAAAGAGAGAGAGAGAGAGAGAGAGAGAAAGAGAGAGAGAGAAAGAGAGAGAGAGAGAGAGAGAGAAGAAGATATCACTATTAGAACCACGTGGTGCACGAGTTCTTTGTGTTGTTGTATTAGCGTATTGAGCACTTTCTTAGTGAAATGAAAATGCGACGTTATAAGTGAAGTTATCATCATCTATCATCCTACTTGAACTAGTTGCTCCGGAGACTCCTGCCTGCTGGCCAGGAGGACCGTCTGATCAGAGACAATAGCCTCGGCCGTGAAGTATTTCAACATCAACCTGGCATAGCTCCCAAATATGTCTTCCTCTGATGAAAATATGTAGAGAGTAAAAATTATACAGATATATTCATATATTCATTAACTTGTAAAGATTTTATGTCATATTCAACACAATTTTCATCATTCCAGAGTCAGAGGCAAGCTGCTTCAATCCTGCCATTTAGGGCCAATCGCTGGAATATGTCAAACATCCTACCCAACACAAAAAGGGATATATATTTTTTAAATATATACACTATAAAATGGAAATCAAACTGAAGTCCTCTGCAAGCAAGGTAGAAAGCCAAACCATAAGACCACTGACATCATTGGTTACAATGTTTGTCTTTTCAAATATGAGCAAAGTATAATACAACAAAGAAAAACTGCTTTTACTTTTTTAAAAGAAAAACAGAAAGAAACTGATTTCTTACATTCCCTACTGTAAAATGGGTACATTATCATATCATATCACTCAGTCAGTACTACTTCACAATTCTCATAATAACATAGCATCCATTGAGAAATGGTTAAAGGCTGATGGCTTCACCTACGAGCAGAAAGAGACTTTCTCAATGAAAGCCAATATCAATAAAAGCTGATGTGCAGAGGGAACATGCAGGGCAGACTGTAAGTCATAGAGATATTGATATGCTCTTGTAAATATTCCTTCAGATTCCCATACATTTTATCAATTTGTGTTCGTCAAGGGTTATCAAATGGACTATAATCAACAACTAGTAACATCAAAATCAAAACTTGGCTTGAAAGAAACAAGGTAATTTTAAACTAAGCAACAACAAAAAAATTCAGTGTGAAACATCATGAACACAGTGAAAACTTACTGCACAGGGAAAAGAATTAGAATCTAATTGAGGAGTCTCCTCACCAGTCTTTTTTTTTTCATTCTCATCATTCAAAAGGGAGGATTTTCTGATTACTGTATATATAACAAAGCAAAAGAGACGAATATATATACTGTCACAGCAAGCAAAAGGAAACCTAGGAAATTCCTAGGTAGCTGATACTCTTAGATTAAATGTGGCATGCAGTAAAATCTCATTTACTGTGAAAGGCGTTTCAATTTCAGTCAAAACATTTTGAGTAGGCCTTATATATTTTTAATTTTACTATAAAAATACTACTTTTCTCTAGGCTTACTTACCCACTAGCATGACTGTGCCAACAGCCAGTCCTCCACCTGAAAATCATAATAAAACAGGCTACAGTACGACAGAAAATGAGGATTGGTAATTGAAGTTGTGGGTTCAAAGCAACAGCTCAAAATTCCTACAAGAAGACAAATATGCGTTAAGTTCCAATGCATCGAATAAAGGAGGGAAAAATAACACAATTATTTTTTGTTAAAAGGAATTTCAATCATCATGTTAGATTACAAAGTCTAGTCTGCTGTATTCTGAAAGGAAGCTAGCCGTACTTAATGACGGCTAGACTGGCAGGCTGCCTGTACTTAATGACGGCTAGACGGCAAGGCTAGTCGTACTTAATAAAATAAAGATGGCTTGACTGACCAAAAAATAGGCCTACTGAATTGTAAATAAATTTTTAGTTTGCAATACTAAAGTAATTTGTATTTGAGATGAAACCAAGGGATGCCTTACTGACAGTGCATGTATTTTAAACCTGAATAGTTCCGAATGAAACCTGTGAACTTAACAGGTTTCGAGAGCCTAACCTAAGTTACGGCAAAACTGCTAGGCCAACCGTACTTAATTATCATGACTTAAGTATGGCTAGATAGCTAAGCTAGCCGTACTTGAGGATACTATAATGATGGCTGAATTGTAAATAAATTTTTAGTTTGCAATACCTAAAGTATTTGTATTTCAGACGAAACCAAAAGGTGCCTTACTGACATATATATATATGTATTTTAAACCTTAATAATTACTAGATCTAATGAGACCTGTGAACTCAAAATGTTTCGGTCAGTAGGGCATAACGTAAGTACGGCTAGACTGGCAGGCTTAGGCTAGCCGGCTGGCCACTTCGAATTTGAAAATGCAACGGCATTACCTGGAAAAATTCATTCGGTAATTCAAATCTTCTGTGAACTGTAACCTACCAAGTGGACACTGACAATGGGTTTCATTTATATAGGGCGGGCTGCAGAAAGAGTCAGAAGCCTAGGGGAGGGGTCGAAGAGGTTGGGGGTGGGGGCAGAAAGTGGAGACGAAACCAGTTGACAGAACATTGTTAGAGCGCAGGAAAGGGGGTGAAAGAAGAACTTTAGAGAAGAAAATTTTGAGCCGCTATCCGGATTCGACCAGGGACCTATTGAATGAGAGGCAAACACCATACCCCTCGACCACGAGAACCCCTGAATAATATTAATTCGTGTAAAAGGCTTTAAGCGGGTCATGAGTTAACCTCACCAGGGGTGAGAAATTTTTATATATTGAGCAAAAAGTAAGTATTATTAGGTGCTTTACTAGTAGTAGATGTTGATGCTTGCATATCACCAATTGACCACAAAATCCCAAGAAATGCACTTTATCCCACATTAAAATTTTGAATTGAGGTTGACCTAGTTTCGACTGTTTGTTTAGGCCTACGTTTAGGCCTACATTCATAGGCCTGTGTGCTTCTAGCCTAGTGCGGCTGTGCTGACACAAAGACGGCGCGTGCTTGGCAAGCAACAGGTCAGACCTGCCGAGCCACTCTGGGACCGGTATTGGTGGACTAGCTGTATATGGTTTCAGGCGGCCTGAGAATGAACATATGGCTCTATTCGGAGTCTGAATTCGAGTCCGAATAGTCTTCCGTGGCTATTCGGACTCAAACTCCAATGTGCATGCGCAATCACTAGGTGTACCAGGTGTGAAGCAGACAAGCAATTCGACCTTGGCCTTCCTAGGTTTCTACGATCTGGCCAAGGAACTTTACAACAAATGGACGCCGACTACTTTGGTGACCTGTACGAACTGTGGTCTTTTCTTTATAAAGGATAATATTATAATAGTAGGGCCGGGCAGTGGGCATCGGTATGGGAGGGAATATAGATCTATATAAGCAAAAAAAAGTGGTGACGGTGGTGGGAGAGAGAGAGAGAGAGAGAGAAAGAGAGAGAAAGAGAGAGAAAGAGAGAGAAAGAGAGAGAGAGAGAGAGAGAGAGAGAGAGAGAGAGAGAGAGAGAGAGAGAGAGAGAGAGAGAGAGAGAGAGAGAGAGAATAGAGAGAGAGAGAGAGAATAGAGAGAGAGAGAGAGAATAGAGAGAGAGGGGGGGGGATGTCTTATAAATTTAAGAAAAGGACTGTTTATGAATTGGGAGTGTATACAGACCCGGTAACCGGGAACAAAGTCACAAAGTATAAAGACCCCGTAGAGGAACTCTTTTGTGATTTCGGAAAGTTTCCTCTTGGCTCAGGGTAGACCTAGGTTCTTCAAGATCTATGGCCATGGCCCGAGTCTAGATCTAGAGCAAGGAGATTAAAAGTTCTAAACTCCTTGATCTAGACAGACAGACATAAATCATTGATCTAGTTACGAGGCTAGCCTAGATCTAGATCTCTAAATGAAAATTGCGGATGACTTTTCGATGAACGATCGTTTTTCCTCTGTTTTGGAGTTGGAGGAATCACAATTTGAAGAAAAGAAACAATGTCATAATTTCAATTGAGCAGTCACCCTCTCTATTTCTCTGCCTCTCTCTCTCTCTGTCTCTGTGTATCGCTCGCATTCTCTTTTTCTTTGTCTCTGTCTTTCTTTCTCCCCACTCCCACCTATTTCCCACTCTATCTTTCTCTTGTTCCCTCCTGCCAACTGGGACATATATAAATGTCATCTAGCACTTCCCCCTGCTCTCTCTCTCTCACACACACACTACCGGGTCTGGGCGCTGAAACTTTCCGAAATCACAAAAGAGTTCCCCTACGGGTGTGTATACTTTGTGACTTTGTTCCCGATTACCGGGTGTACACTTCGTATGAATTTTATGTTTTGATCCCTTTGTTGTCGTGAAACGCAGTGTAATAGCCTACCAGTAGATTAAAGTCCGAATAGCAACGGGAGACTATTCGGAACTCCAGTCCAAATAGCCACTCGTCCCAAAATATAATTAAATGTAATTCTGCTCCGTTGCCACCTTAATTTGACAACCCTGATTTAAAAAATGTAATTGTGAGGCAGCGTGGTGGAATCAGGCGCTCGTCAATTTTTGGGCATGTAGAGTTTGGTATCATCTTAAAGCTTGTTTAATTGCCTTTATTTGTATGAAAAAAATACCCATTTATCTTGAATACAAGTTGAGATATTTGTGAATGAAGGAGATGGGGGTCATCTATTTTGAGAGGCAAAATTAGTGAGAAAATGGCCGCCAAAGATTAGTTATTTCTTTAGCTTAAAAGTCCTTGGCTACTTAAAATTTACATTTTTTGTGCCTTTAATCAACGTTTTTCAGAAAAATCCACACAGAAATGAGTTCTTTATTGGGCATGACAGGTGTTGAGCCAAAAACAAAAATTTGATAAAAATTCAAAAACCTACAAAAAAATGCAGGTTTCTTTATTTTGATTATTTTGACGGGTTAGTTTTTGTCTACCGTGAAGCACCAGCTCAGAAATGACCATTAAAAATTGGGGAGGACTTCCGTAACGAGCGACCACTATGAGACAGAGCAGAATTGAGGGCTTGTGGTAGGGGTAGGGGTAGGGGTAGGGGTAAGGGTAGGGTTAGGGTTAGGGTTAGGGTAGGGGTAGGGGTAAGGGTAAGGGTAGGGTTAGGGGTAGGGTTAGGGTTAGGGGTAGGGTTAGGGGTAGGGTTAGGTCTAGGCCTCTTCTTTATTGTGTTTGATGGGGTGGTCGCTCGTTACGGAAGTCCTTCCAAAAATTATCCCCAGTCCAGTCGTGTGACGTCACGCAAACCGCTCAACCTCTAGATTCTAGATCTAGACACTAGATCTAGATCTAGTTGGCATTGAAAGTTTGCGACCTCAGTGCTTTCTTGTCGCATCTCCATTTTTAACAGTTCACAACAAAGAGAGAGCGAAGAAGTCACATTTTCACTGTGAAAAAAGAAAGTGGCTATTCTCACCCGCCCGGAAGTTCTCGCAAGATCTAATCCTCCCCTCTTCTCTCTCTCTCTGTCTTTTTCTGAATACTGTCTATCAGTGTGGACGATCAAATTGACCAAAACAAAGTTAAAAAATTATGTTAAAACACAAAAGTAAATTAATTTGGTTGTCTACAAAGATGCTACGGCTATTTACTATTTAACTTTTCGAATCGAGCCGCACTACACGGGTCGCCATTTTGTTTTGCCCGGAAGTTCTCACGCTACTCCTCTCTCTCTCTTTCTCTCTCCACTGCCCACAGACAAAATGTACGCTTTTAGTAGGCTACAGTTGTAATGGAACGTTTGTTCACGGCACAGAATTCTACAATTTTTCTTTTATCACAGTGTAGAATTCTGTGGTTTAGGGTGAACGCAAAATTTGTTGGCCTCGATCTAGATCTAGATCTAGGCTATAACGGTGAATGCGCACCGGGTGAGAATAGCCAAAAGACTCGCCTGCACTATTCTCACCCAGGGTGAGAATAGAGGTGGCCGTGTAAAAATGGAAAGTGGCTATTCTCACCCGCCCGGAAGTTCTCGCAAGATCAACTCCTCCCCTCTTCTCTCTCTCTCTGTCTCTTTCTGAATACTGTCTATCGGTGTGGATGATCAAATTGACCAAAACAAAGTTAAAAAATGATGTTAAAACACAAAAGTAAATTAATTTGGTTGTCTACAAAGATGCTACGGCTATTTAACTTTTCAAATCGAGCCGAACTACGCGGGTCGCCATTTTTTTTTGCCCGGAAATTCTCGCGCTACTCCTCTCTCTCTCTTTCCACTGCCCACAGACAAAATTGTACGCTTTTAGTAGGCTACAGTTGTAATGGAACGTTTGTACACGACACAGAATTCTACAATTTTTCTGTTATCACAGTGTAGAATTCTGTGGTTTAGGGTGAACGCAAAATTTGGTGAACGCGCACCGGGTGTGAAAAGCCACAAGACTCGCCTGCACTATTCTCACTCCGGGTGAGAATAGAGGTGGCCTAAAAATGGAGATACGACAAGACGGCGCTGAGGTCACGAGTTGACAGCTTCCTAGTTTTTCGGCGTAAATAGATAGGCCTTCTATCTAGAACCAAGCCTTTATTAATTTATAAGAAAATCTACATCTCATCTAGATATCTAGATCTATATATCTAGATCTAGATTATAGATCTAGACTAGAATCTAGATCTAGATCTAGATCTCTAGAGATCTCTAGATTCTAGATCTAGAAGTCTAGTTTGGATTCCGATAAAGCCGACAAAACTGATCGGTGCTTAAAGCCGCCTGCAGTCTGCCAGCTCTATGTGGGGCAAATTGGAAATCAAAAGGGAACTTTTATACCTATCGGCACTTACTGAGTCAGTCTCCGAAATCGGCATTCTCTACTCTATGTTTTCACCCTTAGCCTTAGTCTTAGCCAGTCTACACTTACCTATGACATTGTCCAGAGAAGGAATGCCTGTCGACACAAGCAACTGGTTGCTGTACAAAGATGGTCGAGTCCCAGCAATCTGACCAACTTTGATTCTGGCTTTCTTTTGGAAGCTTGTCATGACTGGATCTGAGTGATGAGTGAGACTGCCAATAAAAAAGCAGGGAGTTTGAAGGAGCACCTGGAATCTGGAAACAAGGCCTACAAGACAAGGGATTGCCTTCCCCTCTATCGGTTGATGCGTCGGTCTCAGAATACTAGATCTAGATATCTAGATTTCTAGACCTACAAATCTAGATTAGACCTTGTTGGGTCTGGGTGAACGGCATGAAATACTTCACACAGCTTTTTGTTTTCAGTCAACTTTTTTCCTCAGACACCACCACGTCTGCCACGGGACGAGAAACTTCAGTTCAGTGTTGTTAGAAAGCGAAGTGAAAGCCGTGCGTAGCCAAAATGAAACGACTCACGAGCGAGTCACGATTCTAGATCTAGATCTATTTGAATATTATAACGACGTAGATTTCTTAAGACATTACAACTGATATATTTTTTTAAATAAACGAATGACCCAATATTCAACTGTCAGCAGCGTCTGAGCACGAAAGTAACGTGAAAAACGTGTTTAGCTACATTGTTTTGATAGGCAAAAGGCATGTGGCCAGATTTTTCACGTGTCGCCAACTATTTTTTAAAAATCCCCGTGGGACTTCATCGTGGAATAATAACAATAATAATTATTATTATAATAATAATAATCTTACTACTAATGGAGCTAAGGCCAAATTTT